TGTCTGCCACAGTAACCGCGAAAGCTTAGCATAGTTTCAAGGTCACAGGACGGTGAGCCGAAGACTTCATCGCACAATTCAACAGTCTTCCTTACGGTTTCCGGTAAAACCACATCATGAATTCTTTCCAGCCGACTTTTTCTTCGAAATAGAAAGTAATGTCACAAAAAAGTGAAATATTTATCACACCTTATTTTGAGGGGAAATTATCTAAGTATAAGATTTGGAGGACTAGGGAACGAAAGTCATGCCTACAAGAGGGGGTCACGACTTACCTTCAATGGAGCTTCGTTCATATAGGGTGGTTCACCGTCCAACATCTCGATGAGCATGATTCCCAAAGACCAAATATCGATCTTCGGACCGTATGCCGTAGTTTTGTTAACAACCTCTGGAGCCATCCAATACGGTGTGCCTACCATTGTTTGACGCTTGCTTTGTCGACTACCTAATTGAGCACAGAACCCAAAGTCGGTGAGCTTCACCTTGCCTGACTTTCCAAGTAAAACGTTGTCAGATTTTATATCCCTTCAGACGCAATGAGAAATGAAAGATAAAAATAAGAGAAATGCTAGGGTTGGAAGTCACATAAAAGTGAGATATTATGACTAATTTTAGCAAATATACCAAGAATTCAGTTTATAACATATAAAAAAATGAGAGCTTAGTGTAACAGAGAAAAAACTCTAGGGTGATTAATGGCTGAGTCGGTAAAGATATATATATATTTAAATTGATGAGAAGAAAATTAGCCTCATCTTGGATAAAAAACGATTAATGGAAAATAAAATGACTTTGGCCGTACGCAAAACAATAAATAGTTACAAAAAATTATCCACTAAAAAGAAAGAAGGGAATAAATTATTAAAAGACAATACGAGAAAAGTGGTAAATAATATAAAAAATAAAAGAATTCTAAAGAAGACAAGATTTACTTTGTAAAAGACAAGGTTCACTCATGAAGTACTATTCTATTATTTTGATAGCGTAAAATTTTAATAGATAAACGCCTATGCCTCATAAAACGACTCATGAGGGATAAATAGGATCAATATACGAATTAAGCTGACCTATTTATCAAAACTTGGTGGTATCAGGAGGACTTCGAAGAATGTACACCCTAGTGTCCCTGCCAAAGTTTTATTAGATGTTAGAGTACCTTTCATTTCGTTTGAAGAGGCAAGTTTTATCAGTTTACTTCAGCATCTAATCGTTTGCTGGTTACACTCTTAAAATTTTAGCCAGAAGAGATACTGGAAGATCCTGGAGACGGAGCGAATCAATAATGAGATTTTAACTAGACTGGCCAACTTGACAATAAGAACCGCACATATAAACATTAATTTTGTCTGTCCATGGACTCATCGCTATTGGTTAGAGTATACATGAAGAATTTGAGAGAGGATTTTGATATATACGCTCAGCAGCCAACACTAATTGTGCGATACCTGGATGACTACGTGGTAATCTGGTAGCATGGAAGAGTTAGAAAAGTTTTTTATTTTATAAGCCGGCAGTAATGAAAAATTCAATTGTACAGTGGAAGTGGAAAGAAAGAATCAGCTAGAAATTAAAGGTTATTTGCCCAAAGGGGAATCTTAAGAAGAAGTTGCGCAGAAATAAATCTCACGCAGTAATAACCTTATATTTACGGTCTCAACTGGTAGCATTCTGAAGATTAGAGTAGTCAGGAGGATGAACATAAGGAGCCTAAGAGTAAGCTATATTGATTTACGGGAAGATAAACTCGATAACTTAACTTGGGTGTGTATTTGGAACTAATATACAAAAAAATAATACATAGAAATATACGGATCATGATGTGAAGATGGCGGGACGGGGATAGTAAAGGAAAAATGAGTGATATGTCTAGCCTCCCACGAACTGTCCTGGAAGCTGGGGCAACTGATAATGAACAATCCTCTTCACAGCCTTATCTAAACAAAATTAAGCCAATAAAATGGAGTGCTTGAGAGCGTACTATACCAACTGCAAAGACTGTGAATAAAGTACATTGGTAAGACAGGAAGGGCAATAAACAAGATCGAATCTGCAAAATCGCATGTATATAAATATCGAAGATAGCCACACCATTTAATAGAATGCAATGAAACTATGGCCTCATGAGTCAAACATACAAGAGAACGGAATATCAAGGAAGCCGTGAAGCGTAAAGAATAGGAGATTGGAAGCAGGAATCAGTCAAATATTTCTAACTTCCTGAACAGACTAAGAAAGATTCGAACATCAGTAGGGATAGCCAAAAGGAGACGCATGGATTAAGGGGATTTATCAAGCAGCATAAGAAGGCAGAACCAAAAAGATAATCTCAAGGGACAAGGGAAATCAAGAGAAGACAATTGTAATGTGAGGACTCCAATCAAAGAGCTAGCCTCAAAAAGAAGTGATTTGACTTCCTTTTCTAAACTTGGTCATATTGTTAGAGACCTAGATTAACATATATTATCCGGAGTCCTCTTATTTGCATAATCACATTTATGATTTCCAGCATCAAGCCGTTAACTTAATACATTTCCAGACGTTTCCCCGGCATCTTCAATGAGAGGCGCCATAAAGTGACAACTCACTTTGATAAACTCTAACTCTGTTCTAACGA